GGAATGAGAATGATCAGAACAAGAAGCAGAATCAATAGAAAAAAGCAATGAATCGGAATCCCCCCAAAGGCGCCCGCCTCTGTTGGAATAAGGAGAAAGTCATGGCGATGATAAGTAGGCTAATATGCAAAACATGAATCTTCAATTCCCCAAAGGCCCGCCCCCTTGGGAATAATAAGAAACAACAGAACATGTAGAATAACTAGAAAGATTAGAGCAAACGTGAATCTGGAGATTCCCTAAAGCACCCGTCCCTTTGGGAGAATAATTATAATAAGTGAATGAGTAGATTGAATCTGGAATTCCTCAAAAGGGACCCGTCCCGTTGGGCAGAATTGAAATAATCCGGGTACTTCCAAAAACAGAAAATATCTGAAGTAGAAGGATTAGAGATACTATGAGTCTGAAATTCCCCAATTTGAGGAATGAAGAAATTGAAAAACAAGAATCTGGAATTCCCCACAGGCACCTGTCCCTTTGGGAATGCCAAGAATAAATAGAGCAGTTATCAGAACTAGAATCATTAAAAACATTGAAAAAACAAACATGATTCTGGAGCTCAACAAAAGGCACCTGTCCCTCTGGGAATAAGAATAATCATTATAATAGCTACGATGAGTAGACAACATTTCCCAAGCATGAATGTTCAATTTTTCAAGGGCACCCGTCCCTGTGGGAGTAATTAGAAAATTAGAGCAGTTAGAACATCTAGAATAATCAAACACACATGAACCTGGAGATTCCCAGAAGGCACCTGTCCCTTTGAGAAGACTGATCATAAGAAGTAGAATTAGTGTAGCAGACAATGAATCTGGAACTCCTCAAAAGGGCCGCCCCGTTGGCGATACTTGGACAATGCGGATAGTTCCAAAACACCTGAAGTTGAATAAGAGAGAGACCATGAATCAGACTCTCCCCCAAATTTGGGAATGACCAGTTGCAAAAACAAGAGCCTGGAATTCCCGTCTTTTTGGGAATGAGAATAATCATGAGAAAAATATATCAGAAGTAGAACCAACAGAAACAAACTATGAACCTGGAATTCCCCAAAAGGCGCACGCCTCTCTTGGAATATGGAGAAATCATGGCGATGATAAGTAGGCTAGTATGCAAAACATGAATCTTCAATTCCTCAAAGGCACCCGCCCCCTTGGGAATAATAAGAAACAACAGAACATTTAGAATAACTAGAAAGATTAGAGCAAACATGAATCTGGAGATTCCCTAAAGGCACCCGTCCCTTTGGGAAGAATGATTATAATAAGTTCATGAGTAGATGTGCTAGACTAGAAAATGAATCTGGAATTCCTCAAAAGGGACCCGTCCCGTTGGGAATAATTGGAATAATTTGGGCACGCCCAAGAACAGAACATATTGTACGTAGAGTAGTTAGAGAAACAATGAATCTGAAAGTTCCCCAATTTGGAGAATAAAGAATTGGAAAAAGCAAGAATCTGGAATTCCTCGCAAGCACCCCCCCCTTTGGGAATGACAAGAATAATGGGAAGACGTACAAGGCACCCACCTCTTGTGTAGTAATTGTTGTACCTAGAACAACAAAGGTGCCCGTCCCTTGTAAATAATAATGATAGTAGTATTTTACAAGACTGATGATAAGTAGACTAATCAGCGAACGTGAATCTTGAACTCACTAAACGGCACCTTCCTGTTTGGGACCAAATAGAAAATAGGGAAATAATCTAGAACTTACTAAATGGGAGCTGCTCATTTGGGAATGGCTCGAATAGTTTGAACAATGCGGGAACCACGAATCTCGCCACCAACAGGCCCCATCCCTTTTGACACAATTATCCTACCCAGGGCAAACACGAGCTTGGAATTCCCCAAGACGCACCCCAGCTCCCTAGGGATTCAATTAGAATAATATAGAATGATTATGATAAGTAGAATACTTAGCAATCAGGGCTCTTGAATTCCCCAAAAGTCACCCGTCCCTTTGGGAATAATGATGAGAATTAGAAGAGTTATGATAAGTAGAATAGTTAGAAAACATGAATCTGGAATTCATCAAAAGGCACCCCACTTTTTGGAAGAAGTAGAATACTTAGATTAGTTCAAATAATTAGCACAAACATAAATCTGGAGTTCCCCCAAAGGCACCCGCCCCTTTCGCAATAAGTATGTAAATGAGAATAATTGTAATTTTGTGGGGAAGCATACCCAATAATTAAGACAGTAGGACAAAGATGGGTTTGGAATTCTCCAAAAGCAACCCGTCCCTCTGGGAAGAATTATAATAATTAGAACAAGTAATATAGTTATGATAAGTAGAATAGCTGGCAAACATGGATCTTGAATTCCACAAGACACACCCGCCCCTTTGGGAATGATTAGAATGAGAATAAGTTGATTAGTTAGAATACTATAGTTGAAACACACATGAATCTGGAATTGGGATTTCCGAAAAGGCACCAGTCATTGGGAATAGCTAGAACAAAGGAACTAATTAGGGGCGGATTCCCCACAAGGGGCCCCGTGCCGTTGGGAATGCGTGCTACAACCAGAATAATCAGAGCAGAATGACCTGGAAACCACACTGGACTTCACCAAATGGCTTGAAAACAAAGAGAATCCTTAGATTTGCTTAAGTTGTTAGAATGAGTAAAATAATTAGATCAACCATGAATGTTGATTTCCCCAAAAGGTACCCTCCTGTGGGAATACATCAGAGAGTGATGATTGCTATGAGAAGTAGACTAACTCGAACACATTTGACCCAAAATGCACCCGCCCCTTTGCGAATAAATATAAAATCACGTAGAATGATTCGAAAACACGTGAATCTGGAATTCGCCAAAGGGCAGCCGTCCCTTGGTGAAAAAAATGTAATAATCAGAATAGCTGTAAGAATTAGGACAATGCACCTGGAATTCCCCAGAGCGCGCCCGTCCCTTGGGTAATAAATAGAACAAGTATAAATTTCAATGAGCTAGAAGAAATTGTTTCGGAATTCCCCAACAGTCCCCTGCCCCTTTGGGAGTTTCTAGAATGATTCGAAAATTAAAAAGAAAAAGGGCGTTTTGTTTGTGTTAGTGTACTTGGTGTGTGTGTGTGTGTGTATTGCTTGACACTCTGTTTGAGTGCCCTTTGTGCTCTCAGTTTCTCTCCTATCTCTGCTTGTGTTTGCGTGCGTGCGTGCGTGCGTGCGTGCGTGCGTGCTTGCGCGCGTGCGTGCGTGCGTGCGTGCGTGCGCGCGTGTGTGTGTGTATCATGAGTGAGGGAAACATCCCCCCCGCGCGTACCACTTTGGGGGAAACAATCATCCCGCGCGCGCACGCCACATAGGACCTAATCTTCCCTGCCACCCCCCCCCCCCTCCCCCATCCTTCAACGATACCATGAACACTTCGTAGGGTGTTGTTGCCTTGACGCGGGAAACTCGTCAAACACTCAATAAGGTTTATAAACTTTCCTGAAAGTTTATAAACCTTCTGTAGGCTTATTGCGTAGCAAGTGGAGACTGTTGTTTGGGAAAAAAAGGACACTCATTTGAGGCCTTGTTTGATGTGGTTTGGGCATGTGGTCCTAAAAGGTTGATGATTGTGTGTGGGTGTGTCATCACTGCTGCACTGTTATATCAAAGGCTGTCCATTCGGTCCAAGGGAACACAATCTGAGCAACTGCTGCAAAACACTCTGTTTTACAGCATTTTGTTGGATCTCTAATCCCTTGAAATGTCCAATTTGAAACACCTGAAACCTAGAATCTGGAGATCAGAATCCTTGAGATGTGTAATGTTGGATTCTCCAAGCCTCATAATTTGGAGCCTGGAGTACTCCAACACGAATTGAATTGGAATGTTGAAGGGGGCAAAATGTTGTTTGGGAAATGAACAATCTTCGGCCCAAGGGAACACAATCTGAGCAATTTCTTCAAAACACTTTGTTTTACAGTTTTTTGTTGGACCTGCAATCCCTTGAAATGTCCATGGTGAAGCACCGGAAACCTAGAATCTGGAGATCCGAATCCTCGAGATGTCTAGTGTTGGATTCTCCAAGCCTCATATTTTGGAGCTGGGAGTCCTCCAACATTTTTAAATATAGATTCGTTTCCAAATATACTGCGAATTGAATTGGAATGTTGAATAGAATTTAGTAAGCACATAGTTCACCACCATTCATAATTCACCATAATGTCTATATTAGATCAGAATTTGAACAGGAATACCTTTTCCAAATAAGGAAAATATGATTGCAGTAGAATCCAAATATACTTTAATGCAGACAGAATTCAATTAGCTTTTGAACATAATAATTTAATCAAGAATCCATCCCCAAATGCAGCTTGAATTGGAATATAGCTTATTCTGGAAAGAAATCACTTGGCCTTTGCAATCAAATTTTAATAGTAACTCATTCCCAAATATGATTTAGCTTAAATGTGGCTAAACAAATAAAGGGCACATATCCCCAGACTCCCAAACTTGGTCTGGAGATGTGTTTGGCATGTGCAGGTCTCAGAGCTTTCATTTTCAGGAGATTTTGTGCTTTTGGGTCTGTGCAGGTTGCAGAGCTCAAAGCTGCCAAAAACATCATTTTTTCAATGTTTTTCCCTGGTGTACTCAAAAACCACTGTAAAAACCAGTGATTCAATCAAAGCCAGGCTCGAATCTGAAAACGGAATCCGTTTTCGCTTTGCTGCCTTTCAAGCCTCAAATAATCAGACATTTGCTGTCACATAGAAGGTAAAAAAACAACAAAAACACTGTATTTTACAGTGGTTTCAGGCATCTGCAAGAAAGAGGCACACAGAGTAGAGTTGACACCTTCAACTAGAAGAGGGCAAAGGTAGGCCCTGGGGGGGGGGGTGACCATATATATATATATATACATAACATAACATCTGTTCAGATGTTGCTTCAAGCTTCCTTCGCTCCGTTTGTTTTGGGGGGAGAGGCTTCCCATTGTTGACCAACAAAACGCCGCAGGTCATGAGCGCAACTCCTATGGCGCGTCGGTGGCGCGTTGGTGGCTTCGGTCCTGTCGAGAAGATCGGAGCCTAAGGCCTCGAAGAGCTCGTCGTATTGGATGGTGGTGGCCGGACGCCCACCTAGCGAGTCACCCCGAAGCGCAGATCTCAGTCAGATGTCGGTCACGTGCGGGTGGGCTGGATAGGTACCCTTCCTCCGTTGCCATGGCACCTGTGGGGAGGCACCTGGAAGATCATTTTCCTGGAGGGACCCGAGTGAGGTGCCATGTTAGTAGGAGAGAGGGTAAATTGGTTCGAATTTCTCAGGTAGCCGCCCCTAGTGTTTGGATAGCTAGACCCTCCCAAAAAAGGATTCAGTTCTTTTGGGCTATAACCGAATTGTTAAGGGAATTGTGAGGGTTCAGGTGGGTGGATTGGATGCGGAGTTCAACCCCAGTACCCTTTGACACCACAAAAGGGCACCCCCCAGCATCCAAACCAAGTATTAGAGGGAAGCTGAGAATCCCAGTGCTTTACGGAGAACACACACAACTGTTCCTCGTACCCAATCCGTGGTTGAATCGTGTGGGAGGGCCATTCCTTGGCCCCCTTGGTTGTTTCTGCAAATGATGCAATTCCAACATGGAAAAAAACAAAATCAACACAAATCCCCAAGTAAAGTGCTCGTGTTACGTCAAGGGAGCTCGACACAACACAAAAGACATTGCAAGTGAACAAGGACAGACACAGGCAGCTTCCAGACCCGGGACCCGGGGCCGGGGCCCAGGTCTGACCAACCCGCAAGATCCAAGAAACTGGTGCAGGTTCGCATCGTGGTTGCCGACTTGTTTTCAAGCTGGGGTTGTGTGATCACGCGTGAGGAAATTGGTTGGAGTGGTTGATGCTGAATGATGTTCAACCAGGTTTGCAAGACAAATGCCTGAGATTTGCTACTCGTAGCGTATCCTTCACTCTGCAGGGGTGTGACAAAACACATCGCTTGCAACCCTGCATCAAGGACAACACTGATAGGCCATCAATATATATATATATATCGCATATTGAGATTACATGCAAGCGCCTCAAGAAGGGTGGGCTTCCAGGTCTGGGCTTCCAGGTCCCCTCTGAGACCCCCCCTTCCCCCCCAAACAGAACGCCAGCCTTGCACAGCGAAGTGGATGAGAAGGGAGTCCAAAGGCTCTCTGCCCAGCGCATATCCGAAATCCACATGCACCAAACGTCCGTCCACGGTGACCATGAAATTCTCGTGGTGCCTGTCCTTACTTTTGCTCAGTCAAGGTATTAAATTATTTCTCCCTGGTGTGTTTTGGGGCCCGTGGACCTGCTTTTAGACATGCCAAGTGGGCAAGCTCCTAGGCATGTCCAACTAGAAACCGAGCACCTACCCAACATGACCATTCGGAAAGCAGGACCGAACTGGAGCTGACTGCGAACTCCAAAGGAAGGAGCAAACATCCGCTCCTGAACCAGGTCCTCCAGTAGAGAGGATAGAATAAGGGTACCCTTCTTTCTGTTTTATTTTAGTAGGGGAACCCTCCCCAAAACAATGGTAAAAAGGACACTACTGGGGGGGACCTAGTGAGCATACTCCGCCCCGAGAAATAGATATAGAAACTCCTACCTTGGCCTCAAGGGGAACACCAGGACCCTCGCACGGTTGCCGCTTCAATCCCTGAAGCTAGCCTGGCAGCCAACCTGACAAGCCACTCTGCTGTTGGTTCCTCCCTCACTCCCACCCTCTGAAGCCTACCAGAAGAAAAAGGGTTGGATCCTCAAATCCGGCTCCTGACATCGTTCATGAGGCTACCCGCAATTGTTAAGGTAGGTGTTGCGTGGGAAATCCACCAGAAAACGGGCCTTCTGATTTATTACTGTGGACCCGGTACGCCATTTCCACAAACACGAAGCCCCACTTTGTGGAGAAGAGCTTCCGCAACTCCTGAACGTCCCAGTTGCGTAGAACAACCCTTGGGTCCAATCCACCATTAAAACAAGAGGTTAATAGAACCACCATTATGAATTATGTACCTGAGATTCATCATGCAAATTGGACGCTTGCCATGCTTGACATGGGGGACAAACATGGAGCCCTTTCTTCCATGACCCCATGGAAGTCTCGAGCCCACACAAATAATGTCCTTTTTGTCGGTTTGCTTGGAAGCAGATGGCTTTAGATGAAGAAACCACCAGGTAAACCTCAAGAAGTCAGGGGTTTAGGCATAGGTGGCCTTTGGAAAGCAAAACATGGTAAATGGATGGCCCCATCGATGTTCAACCAAACCAAAAAGGACACCTATGCGAACCCACCTTTTAAAAAAATCGAGGGATCGAGTCCAGGGCTACCTTTCTACGGCTTCTCAAAATAGACAACAGACATGGTGTCTCTTGTTTCCGATGAAAACGCCCACCCGCTTTTGGTGAATACCCTCAAAAAGGCAGCCCCCAAACAAGGAAACAACTAGTGTTTCAGCAAGAAAGTGCGGTTCAACAGGATGGGAAAGCAATCAACACGTATCAAGAAAAGAGGCAACCAGGGATCTGACCTTTAGTTGCAAAATGGTGGTTTCCCTTGCAAACCCTGTATTTTGTGGCTGGTCTGGAAGCACTGTGAGGTCCATTTGGTTTCTTCAGGAATCAACAACCTGGGAATGAGCTCCCAAAAAGCAGATACTGTATCGCAGCCCCACCAACAAAAAACAGAAGCACTTTGAAAGTGAGCCCCTGTAACCCTAAAAGAAGTGGCCGCCTCTGTCTGGCTATATACGCTCACTCAAATGGGGTAAGCAGGATGAATATATATATATATATAAAACCAAAAAAGGCGGCAACGTAGATGGTTGACACTTGCTCTTGGTTTCTTAGGAATTCGAAAACCACAAGGTAAGAAAAAGGCTCCAAGAAAGGAAGGTTGACAGTTCCCTCTGGCTTCCCATGGACTATCTGGGGGCTTCACCCGATACGTGTTTTTACATACCACTTGGGTGAATGACGAGAAAAAGGCTTGCTGATTTTCATATCCCAAAAGGGGTATGTACCCCTGAAACCAGCTGGGTTCTCAAAACGCGGAACCCCTTACATGGGAACGGTTTCCTTCTGGTGTCCCTTCCCAACCCCGCGAGGACTCCAAAAAAGACACCCCTAGGGTGTCACCCACAAAAGTGAGCCGGATTGGGGCCAACCAGACCAGAGGTTCAATCTGGGGCTAACATTGCGCCCTTCCACCCTGCAAGACCCTCCATGGCAACAGTTTCCTTGTAAACTGTCCCTCAACCCTTCAGGGTACCAACTCCAAACAACAAGTGGAATACCCACCCTGAAGGGATCTTAAGGCCACCACTCCCCCCCCCCCCCCAAAAAAAAAGGGGACCACTTCCTGCCCTCCTTCGTCCCCTTTCGTCGCCTCCCTCTCGACGACTCGCCCAACGACCGACTCGTCTCGCGACCGACTCGGCGAGGAGCGCCGAGGCCGGCCACGAAGCTCAGCACGGCGCTGACGGCCGCGGTGAAGCTGAGCCGCGCCAAAGCCTTCGCCAGGTCCGGTTCTCGGCGCGCGGCGCGCGCGGTGGAGCTGGAGGCGGCGGGGGGGGGGGGGGGGGGGTTGGGTGCAGTACCCGGGTTGGGGGGTTAAAAGAGAAACCAAGGGGAAAAAACCCACCAATTGAGAGCTTTAAAAACAAAAAGGCAAAAAAGAAAAGCAGGGGGACTTAATGGGATTCCGGCGGGGTAGTTTGACCCGTTATGGGAGGTAATTGAAAGGGCCAAACGGGAAACCGCATGTTCTGTTGACACATGCTTAAAGTTGAAGCGTTTGCGTTTCAGGATGTGTGTTTTGGAAACTGTGTGATTTGTGTTCCATGCGCCTTCGGCTTTTGAACCTGAATAAGGCGCGCTCCTCTGGGGGCAACATCCTTAGAGGTAGAAGTCTCAGGCATCTTGGCTTAAGATTGATAAGTAAAATGTGGGGAATATGAGTTGATAAGCACAGGATCGATGTCCTGCTCCGGTTTCTCAGCCACTGTACCCAGTCATTGTCAGCTGTGTTTAAAGGATGATTCCAAGCTTTTGCTTAGGGTTTGTCTCCAAATGAAGGACACCCTATATAAATGGCTGGTTAGCTCACACTTCTTTCTTCGATACAACCCCGAAAAAAATCCAACAAAAGCGGTGTAGCCCCGCACAAGGATGCAAGTCCATTGTTTTAAACAGTCTGTGTCTTGGAATAGGGATCTTTCAATCATGGTTTTTCCGTGTGGGTTTCTTTAAAAACACCCTATCTCAAGAAGGAGTAGCATCGGAAGAAGAAAAAACAAGACGAGCCCAACACCCGCCATCCTTTTGCGTGGCGGGTTTCTGCCATTGTGGGCCCGTAGGAAGGTCAACAACGTGCCCTTCTCGCCGGGGGAGAAGAGCAACACAGTGCCCAGCACCGACCTGTCCTCGGAAAACCGAAGACAAGTCGCAAGTCGCAAGGTTCAAGGCCCACACCGTGAGGGAACTCTTGCCAGCAGGCTCTCCCATGGTGCAAGGATTGGGTGGGAAAGTTCCTTACATATCCCCTAACGCCTTGACACATCCACCCAAAGGTAGCTCAGAAGATGCGTACGTCCGACGAACAAGTTGGTCGGAAAAAGTTAGACTTTGTCTATTAGGTCCTTTTGACAGGGTGCAATCCCAGTTGATTCGGATGCATCAATTTGTGTTCACAGGCCATTGATTGATCCCACGATGTTCAGGCAAGTGGTTAACGTGAATGGGGGTCCAAACAGTGAATAAGGAACACACAGTTCCTGTGGGCATGGACTCACTTGCTTTCAAAGGGAATCGACCTGTTGATCTGTTGTTTTGCTGTTTGGGCCATTTTGTGCGGCCCCAAAAGGTCTGGGTCCCCGCGGCCCCAAAAGGTCTGGGTCCCCAAGGAGCAACCGAGTTAAACCAAAACCTCACTTCCTGGACTTGATACTTTTTGGGAAGACCGCTTTGGTGGTAACTAAACAGCTTGCTTACCTTTTTTTCCTGCCAAAGCAGCAGGCTCCAAACTTGCTGCCTAGGGCCCAGGGAATGACCCGGGGTGAACCGGAAGGGGATTCCCGAATAAAGGACACCAGTTGGATTGTTTTTAGGGGTAATTCCAGTTCCCAGGGACCCTGCATCTTCTGGGGGTGATTTGTATGCTGGGTGCCGGACCAGCTGGGGTCTCCGGAAAACAACACATCCTCTTGTTGTTTCCTCTAGGGAACTCAAACTTTACATGTACTCAATACCTTTGTTGTGGAGCCCTGTTTCCCGCGGAAACACATATATATATTTTTTTTCTATATGTGTATAGATATACCGATTAATTTAAATGATAAGGTGCTCTAAAATTCAAGGTGAAACCGGATTGAAGCTATCAACTTGAGCAGCGACATGAGGCGCGTTGCCTTGCTGGTGACACAGAAAACAGAACAACGGCAAAATGCAACAGTCAAAACCACAAAGACAAAGCAACATATCTGAGCAATACGTGTGTGACCTGTTCTTCCTGAACATCATGTCAACATGTCTTTCCTTTGTTGCCAAAAGACATCAACTTCATGGTTGCCAGCTCAGCGGCCAAGCCCGTTCCTGTGCGCACCTCCCGCAGGGTGCGGGCCCCGTCGATGAACTCCAACATGGCGGTGCCGGGGCCCGTCATGACGATGGTGTACCTGCACCCAAAGGCTCCGAATTTTACTAAGGGCACCCCTTGGTTGGGTGGCTTTAAAAGGAAACCAAAAGCGGAACGCAAATTTTACTGGCCTCATTATTTGGCCATGAGCAAAGTTACCCCCTAAGGGTTAAGGGAAACAACCCCATGTTCTGACTTTGATAACCCCCAGAAACCGTCAACATACTGACCAGTTTTATTAGTTTTATTGAGGGCAGCCCCCTGTTGGGGGGCTTTAAAGGGACACCAAAAGGGGAACGTGTGCACATGGGTGGCCTGTTGGTTAAAAGTAGATGGGTGTCCCTGGTAAATGGATGGCATCAACCCCAGCGAAACCAGTGGGACCCATCTATGTTTAACCAAACTAACCTAAAAAGGATACCTGTGGGTGTGAGGTTTATTCAGGGTCCCCCCGTTTTTGGGGAAGGGTTTTAAAGGGAAACCACCAGGAAATGCATACATTTTGTAGGATCCCCCCAGAAAAAGAAACACTGAAAAAGGCATTGGTCCCCTCAAACACGTTGGTTTCCCTTGCGCTTCCCTTGTAATTACAAGGGATTCGCATCCCACGTTGAGAAACACATGGGAAGACAACCGGTTTCTTTTTGGGACCGTGCCCTCAGAGCCGACTCCAAAAAGGGCCGCGAAAAATGATGATCACACGGTTGCGGAAACCTCCTGACCTCATAACTTTTCAGGGCATCGCATTGGTATCACAAGAAATGGCCCCAAAACATCCCAAGACCCACTTCCCAACCACAAAGCACCATGGAAGTGAAAAGAAGGGTTTCTAACAACATCTTTAGAGGCCCCAACCACCCACTTCCGTGGTAGAACAAGGTTACTGACTAAGCAAGTTCTTGCACCAAAATGAGCAAACAAGTCAGCCAGCTTTGTGTTATATCCCTCGGGCGCCCGAAAATACTCAATCCCTGCAGAAGGCCCCCTAGCTCTCTAAGCCAGGCAACAACACACTGGTCCTCAAGACCCACAACCGCAACCCAAATCGTACCCCCAGTGAACATCCCAATCCCCACTAAAATGGGTTCTAAAATGGGTAGTGCACCTACTCCAAAATGGGATCCCCTTCGTTTGGACAACCACAGCCTAGTGGGGTGTTCTTTTCACCAAACCGAGCTCGACCTTTCGGCACCTCATAGTCCAACACCTCGCCGCCTCCCCAACCCTCCCCAGTGGCACGTAGCGCGGACGTCCTCGAAGGCCAGGCATTCGTCCTGTAGCAACTTCTGCAGCTCTTTGTCCTGACGTGAAAGGCCAACCCCGAGAAGTCCTAGTTCCCTGAAAACGGACAGGTTAAAGGAAAGCATCGTCCTATGAACAAAGCACATGAAAGTTTTGAGGGGGAGGGCCGATTCCAACAGTAGTAGGTACCATGGCACTCTGAGAATGGGGCAGTTTTGCACGCGAGTAACACGGGTTGCGCTTGTTGGTCTGGAGGACCAGTGTGTTGTTGCCTGGCTTAGGAACCTAGGGGGCCTTCTGCAGGGATTGAGTATTTCGAGGGCCCGAGGGATATAACACAAAGATGGCTGACTTCCCGCCATCACGCGGGATGTGAAGTGCTAAAGTCCCGCACGAACAGAGCACCTCACGGGCAAGATTCTCCCGGACATTGAGCCCAGATCATGGTGTCTTTGTTGTCTGGTCGACAAGGTCATGTCATGTTTGAAATGTGCGAAAAGGTGGCCGTTGCCCTTAAGGTCACCCTTTCCCTACCAGACTGGCGGCGGAAAACGAGCTTTTGGTTGCACCGCAGATGGGCTCAGAAGCAAATGGCTTTTGCAAAGGGAAGGGTGAAACACCCTGTAAGAGTTGGGGTAAGACGCCTTTCACCGCGGATTCCCTGTTGCGATTTCACTGGCGCTGACCTAGTTGGATTCTCCCAGTCAGCTGAGACGCTGAGACTGGAGGCCCCTCATCAGCAGGGGTGCACATACCGACTCATGAGGAGCTCGAGCCCACCTATGAGAGAGGAACCGGCAACTTCCGAGAAAACACATGCCTTCCGCAGGCAGGACCTGGGACAGTTTCGCCTGTTGCTAGTGGTAAGACCCGCCAAAGATACGATCAGGCCACCTATATTTGCATCCTGGATCGCCAGTTGCTACTGTTTTCCATGCACTTTACCCCAAAAACCAGCAACTGTGACTGAAAAAAACAGTCAGTTTGGCCATCTAGGATAATATCTTTGAGTCTGGTCCATCGTGAACCTTCACATGCAGAAGCTCAGAAGAGCTCCTGCCAAATATAGAGCTCCAACAAGCGCAGGGTGTTGCCGACCTGCTGCTCCTTGTGCATGCCCACATCCTTTTTCCTCAGCGCGAGGGCGCAAAGCGAGGGATGGGGGGGGTTCAGTTTCATTTTGTGAGTCAACTTTGCTATGCTCTAAACGTGTCATGATTTGCGATGTGGTACCATTTTGCTTGCGCCCCCCCTCTTACGCAATCCTTGCAATGCACGTTTGGGCTTTTGCAACAGATGTGGAGGTTTGCTTACGTCGCCAGCTTACGCCACCTTACGCGCGTGGAGGGTTCGCTGACGAGGTTGATGTGACGCAACTCTCGCTAAACATGACGCAGATGTTGGACGTTGCTATCGGGACATGGAGCGAATCCAATTCGGGTCAAACGGTCCGCTCTCCGAACTGGGGGAGGGATCCATCAGCGTTGCTCTGAAATCCCGCTCGGCACAGGGCTTTGGACAAATGGCCGCCTCGAAAAGTGAAGCAACGGACACTGTTTGACATTCGACCAATTTGAGGTTGCCCATGGGACATGGACTTGATGTGAGGCCTTCCATTTATGTTTTCTGCGTTGGGGAACTCCGAGCATGTGAAGGACTGCCATGTTGTGGGGGGGTTCCGAACTCGTTCGACATCTTCGCCCAGTGCTCCCAGCTAAACCACTATATAGTAGGAACCATGGCAAACAGCCAAACAATTTTTTTAGGGAAACAACTAGTCGATACATACCATTCTGGAATATCAGAGGGTGGAATAAGAACCACACGTGATTCTCCCATGATCATGACGTAGTTAGGTTATACCCCACAACCCCATTCCAACTATGCAAGGTCCTTCCTAGGTACTGCGATTCTCCGAGGCTCCTTTTCTTCCCCAACAAACATCCCCCCAAGAGAAACTCAACCAAAACTGGGCAACAAAAAAGGGTGATGCTTCAAACCACCGAACAACTTGGGCCTACACCCAGCTTCTGCCCATGTCCAGCTTCTGCTCTCCTCAGGGAGACCCCCAAAAAAAACGACTCAAAACCGACCCAAAAAAACAAATCGGCCCAGTTCTGCTGCCGAAACCGCACCTAAACTGCCCATGTTCAGCTTCTGCCCCGTCTCAAGAAGACCCCCCACAACCGAAGCTCCCCGAAAAAAAAACAGGTCGTCCGAGGCTCAGCAGCAGGCCCGAGCTCTTGCGCCTCAAGGCCACCTCCCGGCTGCTGGGCCGCATGGCCGAGGACGTGACCCTGGCCTCGGGCAGCCGCGCGCGCGAGTGGCGTCGCGAGCAAGCGGCGAGGGAGTCGCACTTCGGACAGGTCGCCTCCCCGCCCTCCCCGTAGTCTTGGTGTTTTCATGTTGTTCTATCAGACAATTTAAGTGAAGTGATTGATCAGCTTGTGAAGATTATGATGATGATGATGATGATGATGATGAGGAGCAGGATAAATGAGAACGGTAGCAGTGAGCGGATGCAAACCAAACGTATCCAAGGGCAACAAAATAAACTCACTTCCGGTTTCGAGTGGATTCGCCCCAGAAACAGTCCAAACTTGTTGTCTACCACTAAAATGGTCTTCCCAAGTATAAAGTCCAGGGACTCGGGAAGTGAGAGAAGCTAAGAGGAGGATTCTGGACAAAAATTGGCTTTAGGCCCCAACACGTCTCCCATTCTTGCAAAGAGGGTAACCCGACTGTTTGTTTACTGAATTGACCTTCCGCCAAAAAAAACAAACAGAAGTCCGAAGCTGGGGAATGGATGTTTTGGCTAAGCGAGCTCCAAAACCTGTTTGGGCCGCTGGAAGGACGAGATTTGGCCCCGGGGCCAACTCTTGGGCGCACACAAAAGATGACTGAGACTATGCCGTGTCTTGCCGGGCCTTGGGCATCAATGGGGCGGTGTTCCCCTCCAAAAGTGATCTGATTCCCCACCAAACCCAGGTACACCCCTCCCCTATTAATAAACTGGGGGTGATTAATATGAGGTCAACCTTACAGTTCAGACTTCTTTGTGAATTACTTAAAGCCCATGAGGGGTCCTGCCTCTCCATTCCAAAGGGGGGCATTGGGGGGGCATGACTCCACCAATGAACTCCCAACGCCCAACCGAAGAACCAAAGGCACTGCAATTTGTGACTCGAGAAGCCCTCTGAAAGCACCCAGCCGGGTTGTCAAAGTTGCGAAGGCACCTGGTTGCTTCCAAAACCCGGAATTTGGTCCTTGGTGCACCAAGAAAAAAGGAAAACCATTGGACACTACAACAAGCCTCTGCGTTTTGATATCACCTCTCCGCGCAACTCACTGGCACCGGTGGTTGATGCAAGCGTCGGTCTCCGAAATGGTGCTGTCATGGAAGCAGCACCGTGCGATCACCGGGGCCGACTTGCTCTCTGCCTGGCAGTCGCCCAGAGGCCAGGCCCAACTGGTCAGCAACCCAGTGCTTGAAAGGGTCCTGCACTAAAAAAGCAACTGGATGGGAATGGTACCGTCTGCGGTTCTCGACTTTGATCAGACCTGGACAGATCTTTAGCCAAACTTGCCAATGATGCGCCACGGCAAGGGCATGTGTGCACACATCTCTATGTATACATGGTCCAGTTTGGGGGGGGGGCAGGGCGGAGGACAGGACAATATGTATAGACCCCAATCTTACGGAACATGCAAGGGCTCACCCTGTTTCTTGGTCACCCTTTCAGCATGCCCAAACAAACTATGGGCCTAAGCCTTCAGCCACCAAGCTTACCGACCCCCCGCACAACCAACGCGAGCAAAACGCGAGCAAACCGCGCCTTGCGGGGCTTGAACTCCAGGCCCAAGCAGCTCCGGTAGGGCGGCCACACGGCCAAAGGGAACATCCGCTCCTCACCCCAGGCCGGCTCGAACTTGCAGCAGTCCTCGGAACGGATTTGTTTGGACTCGGCCGGTGCCTCACATGCGGCAAACAACAAATATTTCTGGCTTGCCAAAGGCAATGTGTTGCTTTTTGGCACCATTTTGACCTACCTGAAGAGGATTTCCTCTCAAAACACAATCTTTGAATATTTCTAGGTTTCTTTCTTGCTATATTTGGGGTTTCCCTAAGCGACGGCAGTAGCGCTTCCAGATGAGACAAACCGCATAGTCCCCGCGCTCCAAATGCCGCACCCATGAGTGCTGCCGGAGCAGGCCCAGCTCAATGTCCTGGTCGCTGGTGTGGAGATGGCGGATCCAGATTCGGATCGGAAATGGAAACGCCTTCGGTTCCTTGCCCCGCTTGAAACGAATGGTTGACCGGACCCAATTTGGATGAAACTTAGGAAAAATCATAGTGGTTATATTAGCCCCCTTTGTTTCAATGGTTTACTGAACCCCAGAATCCGACTTCGTTTTGGCTTTTGAAGAAATACCAACCACAAGGGGGTCATAAGTAATTGTGAGACACCCAGATGGGACGCGGCAATTTGCCGCATGCGACTTGCCAATCTGAGCTCAGGACAAGTTGTGCAGATGTCCATCTGTGTCAAACAATTGTCTAAGCCCGGGTGTTTGACCGGCTCCGAAAGAATGGGAAAACATGACTGTGGACTTCTACCTTTAGAATTGCGGAAGCTGACCGAAACCGGGGATCCTTTCAAGTTCTTGGTTGGTTTGCCATTTTGCACAGCTCCACAAGGGTCAACAAATCCTATATCTCATGTCAGCTTGAGAACTGCCCCCGGAAATTTGCCGGGAGGATCTTTAAGGTCCCAAAAAGGCTGCCAACAGGCCGCACAGGTCGCAAAAGCCAAAGGCTATTGCCGAACAAACACGAAAAGTGAAAAAGAAAGGACCGCGAACAACGAAGCAGGGCCTTTTTAGCAGGGAGGTCCCTTCATTTTCGCACAAAGCGGCAAACAAGGCAAACATTGGTTGATATCCACAACCATGATAGCAAATGTTCTGATCTTAGTGGCCGCAAGCTTGTCCGAGTCTGACAAACACCCTCACATCTAGAAACTCTAGAACTGAAAACAAAAACATCTGGGATAGGGCTGCCTATCTCCTCCAAACATTGCCCTTTGCAAAGAAGTCTAGCTTCCACACTTCGGAGGTTGTCAAACAAAGGAAGCCCATTAAGGACGTGTTCAAAGTGGGCCAAGGGGGCACTTCAAACAGAGGCGTCCCGATGCATCATCACTTTTGGAAATCTACGGGGGGGGCTCCCCAGACATTCTTCCAGTGAGTCGAGGTAGTGTAAAAAAGGACAGCGCTACTCCAAAAGGAGATCTTAACTAATTGGCAAAGGCTGATGTTGAAGCCGTACTTCAAGCGGAAAATAGGGGAAGCAGTCGCTGACGGAATCGCAGCAGCATGACCCGACGCGAGTTCCTTTTGTCGATTTTCCGGAAGAAGCAACCACCGTCCAGGAAATTGGGGCAGTACACAATATGGCAGCAGTGTCAATGGGGAATGCCTGCAAAATGGTTGGTGGACATAAATCACAAAAAATATGTCCGCTGCCAACCAATGAGCATTCATAATGAGAGGGTTGTTGTCTGACCTTGCCCCGAATATTCAACTCAAATGATTTGAGCAAATATCAAAGCAAGAACCAGATCCAGTTGCCCAGTGACCCTGACAAAAGCCTGGTTTGGGGTTTTCCACCCAAGCGGGCCCGAACCCGCACCGAAAAAGGATTCGCATGCCGAAATTTGGCAGATTGCAACAGGAAACCGTCCATTTCAACTTGAAACTCCTGGTCTTCCAAAGTTTGGAAACCAGAAGAGAGGTGTCGAGCTTCCACCAAACATGTGTTCGTGACAACCTGCACAGTAAGCGAAACGAACAACCATTTATTAGAAGGCCCCGGTTTCCCTTGACAACCTGCTTTTAGAAAAACCCAGAATTGCACCACCAGGTGAAGTGGAGGAAACAAAAACGGCTTCTGGCTGGAACCAGGTTGCGGGTCAACGGACTTGAGGCTTTTGGGATTCACTCGAGTCGGTCCTGTGGCAGTGCCTTCAGCAACTCCTGCCGGGATAAAAGCCGACCCTTTGGTTCCTTGAGGGGTGCCCTGGGAGGTACTGGACCCGAATGGGGGAATTCAAACTGCCAGAGAGCAAGACATTGACCTGTCTCGCCTTGGGCAAAGTGCGTTGAGGGACATTTACGAAAACAAAACAAACACCGTGACCCACATAAGGAGCTGTTTCGCAAAAAAAGGGAAAAAAGTTTTGGGGAGACGCCTGGCGGCCTAGCGTGCCTTGCTTGGGATGTCCGGCTTTCCTTCAATCCTTCCAGAAAGGCATATGTTGAGGCACATCCGCATGTTTCAAGCGTCGAAGCAGGCGCTTGGCTGATTCCATTTGAGGGGAGCAACCCTCAAACACATTCATCCAACAAATGCAACATGACGCGTGCCTGAACTTTGCTTGTGTTGTTATTGTTTCAGCCATCATGCCATGCTTCTTATTCTTGTGTGCTGGCTTGAGTCGTGAGCTCTTTGAACGAAACACACGCTCATCCGGTTTTCGGGAGGGTCCTCTTCACACCTGTGTTGGGAGATTGGCGGACCGCCAAGAGGTCTGACCTGCCCTCGCCCGTGCATCCAACAAGATTGTCCAACAAGGACGTTCATCCAATATATATATATATATATATATTCTACAATCTGTCAACCATGTAAGAACCTTTCTTCCGTGCGTAATAGTTTTGTTCCGTGAAGAACCCACCCATCCCTTTTTGGGTCTCCCAGCCCCTCGCCTCCCTCGCCTAACTCTCGCCTCCCGCGGACCCGTCACTTGCGCGTCCGTCTAAGGCGCGCCTGCAGAGCCACGGATGGCCAAGTGTCCGCGTAGGTGGTGGTCTCTCGTCGCTGCTGGGCCATGGCTTCGGCACGGGCCTCCAGGGCCCAGAAGTACCTCAGGCGGTCCCGTGGAGCGAAAAACCATGGACGGAGTGGGGCATAAACCCCATCTAAACCAGTGGGACCCATCTATGTGTAACCAAACTAACTTAAAAAGGACGCCTATGGAGGGGTCAGTTAGCACATGGACCCCCATGGACAATCTCCACATGCAAATGTCAGTCCTCGACCATGGGATGTGTCTTCGGTTTTCCTCTGACGGTCCGCAATAATCCGAGGTTAACGTGATTTTGGTTTGTTTGGCATGATTCCTTAAAGGAGGAACACCGGGGGGGGGGGGGGGGAATAAGCTCAGGTGATATCCCCAACAGCATGCGGTGCTCTTTGTAGTGCTCGCACCACCCGGCAGCCCTCGCAGAACCTCGTGGAACCCTCGTGAAACCCTGGTGGAACCCTGGTGGAACCCTGGCGGATCCCTCGAGGAACCTTACCTCAGGGCCGCCCCGGACCACCCCGGAGCCTATCTGGGCTGAGACCCCAACTTTCAGCTGTTGGGGAAAAAACAAAAACACATGATTGAGATCCGACATCTTGGGCATGTCGAGATTACCCATGGGCAACAGGGTTCATGTGCTAACTGATTGTTGCTCACTATATGTCAAAACGGAGCGGGGGACCTCGAACATGTTGGCTGCTGGAGAAACCATCATCTTAAAACCATCAGCTAAAACCTTTAGGCAAAACTACTCAAGCTTAGCTCGGCCCAACTCCGAAGTACTCGAGATCCAAAAAATATTTTCGGAGTCTTCAGATTTGGTCTACCGTCCTACCAGGGTTTCCGCTTTGTGTTCTTGGCCACCGGATTTGTCCGGGGTTTGTTCCTTTCGGTCACAAGGGGATGAGTTCAAAAGAGTTCCCTTGCTAACCACTGGTCCACTGCCATGAACCGAACTGTAAGAGGGTGTCCTCGGAGGGGGTCCCTCGGCAGCAAACACTGCATGATTACATTTGCCTGTATGCTAGGTAACCAAGGTACTTCCCACCCGTTGAAAACTACCTATTGCAGCGATGACTGCCACACAAATGTGGCACCAATTCAGTTGG